AAAGATACTAAACATAAGATGTGAACTAAGGGTTTCATACCACCTGTAGAACATGGTTCTAAAATGTCCCCAGAGTCGTCGATCCTCTTTTGGATATTATTGATCTACCGACTACTCGGGATCCAATAATATATTCAAGAGAAACTCGTCTGAGTGTAGCATCACATATCAACTACTTTAGGACTACACCTAGATAGTCATAACACTACATCCAAAAATACCAAGATGGGTTAAGGGGTTCTAAGGTCCTCAGCTTCTCAGGCTCCCGGGTCGAAAAGTGATAATGTCGCACAACTGGTTTGTTTAACATCATCACCCTCAAAGAGGCCTCCACTGAGCAAGAGATCTCAAGTCAACATGTTGAGGACTACTCCATACATGTCATCATAACTATGCCACCCTCCTATATTAAGTTTTCCTAAGTCCTCTTATAGGATTTCCAAGAGATCACCAAGCACCCTGAAAACCAGAAAAGTCCAAACAAACAAGCAAACAGATATAATAATAGCACACACACAGATTAACAAAGATAAGCTCAACCCACTTATAGATGATTTCCTAAATAAGGTTTTAAAGAAAAACTAATAAAACTGAGATCTAGGTAAGGGGGTTGGTTATGCAAAGGGAGGGTGTTAGAACCCTAAACATCTATGGTACTTTGTAGGAACGTCTTTGAAAATTTGTGTATTTAGATAAAAAATAGTTTGTTTGCAACAGTTTGTGGAGATGAGATAAAGAATTTTTTTTAAGGTTTTTGATCCGAAAAGACTTCAAGAGCCTCGTGCCTATGTGGTTCTTCTAAAAAGGAACAAATTTGTTTGTTGGTTAATTTTAAGATAAGAGACATTTTGTCATCTTAGGGAGAATACACAACTAAATATCCATAAACATGTGAACGATGGACTTTTGCACCACAAGTGAAAGAAGGGATCCAACCTAGATAGCTGGACATGTATGCCGCTTACCCCTTCAAGTGGAAAAGATTCAATATCATATCAATCATGGTTATGGACATGGGAGAATTATATCTTAACAATAGAGATGACTCACATATAAACTTTAAGAAAAGACTTTAAATCAAAATCCAAATGGCAAAAAATTTGAAGTACGGTTTTGTGTTTTATAATCTTAGAATAAAAAGGTTCAACTTTTATTACATGGATTAAAGTTTTGTTAAGAAAAAGATTTTGAAAATGCACTTGACAAAGTCAAGGTTTTTATTGAAAATGGTTTTAGTTGGAAAACAAGAAGGTTTTGAAAAGGGGGGAGAATATTTTAAAATTAAAGAAGATGGGAAAGAGATGAAGGTACTATATTTAAACACAAAGTAAAAGCTAAGCTAAAGAAAGATATAACCAAACAGGAAGCCAAAACTTGACATAAAGTCAATATATCATTGACATCCTTTGGATTAAAGCTGCACAATAAATTAATAAGCATCAGATGGGATAATGTGCCTCAAGTATAAGATTTACATTAGATAAACTCAAAGTACTTGGCATGTATTAGATGAATATGATGTATCAGATGAACTATTCTTGCATCCGATGAAATGTTAAAGTAACACATGCACACAGAAAATTTCCCAATACACAGACAAAATAACATCAAAGATTAAGTCCAAAGGTCTCAAAGTCTCAAGGTCCCATCCTAAGTCCAAAGGTACAAATACTCCAATACTAAAAGGGTCAATAACCATAATCCAAAGAGGTCTTTAAGTCTTTTAATGTCCAAGTTTATTATTAACGTCTTTCAAAAGAAAAATAAATCTCAAGTGAGCAAAAGAAGAATGACATAAAGATAAAGTGCTCAAGTCATCAAAAGTAAAATAACATAAAGATAAAATGATCAAGTGAACAAAGAGAGGATGATATAAATTAAAAATAAAAAATATAAATGAAATGAATGATAAAAATTCTAAAATAAATAGCAAGAAAGTAAAAGCATAAAGTAAATGACCAAATTTAAATTGCATAAAGTAAAATTTAGTACAATAAATGTTAGAGTTAGTATATTAGTTTTCTGATTCGGGACAATTTAGCGCTATTTTAAGCTATCGTAAGTGAACTTATTTAGAATTTGCACCTATCTAAGGCTGAGCCAAAATAATGTAGGTGTATTGCATATAATGCACACCAAGGTTTAAAAGAAAAGGTGATGAAGACTAAGTCAAGGAAGATACACCATGACAAACTTATCATTAATCCCAAGTACCTTGAATAATCAATTGATCACTTAGAGGTATATTAGAAATGATGAAATTTCATCAAATATCCACAAGCTTAGATGAACTAAAAAGTCCAAATGCTTTCCAAATTGATCAAAAGAAAGAGAAGAATGGGATGAAGTTGAGATAAAATGAACAAAAAAAAATAAAAATCAAATTTAAATTAGATCAAGGTTTTGATCAAGTTATCATCAGCACCATTCATCCATTTTACTGGATTAGGGTTTTCACCCCATCAAAATCCAAGATCCAATGAGGTTGATGAAACTTGTGACCCAATAGACCATGAATCAAGGCCAGCCAGTGAACAAAGTCAAATAACATTAAAATACAATTAGACAATTAATAAGTGAATTTCAAAATTGGTTTTTAATGGAAATAAAAGGGAAAATAAAAAAGCCTAAAAAAACCACTAATAAAAATGAAGGGGGGCCTTTGAAAGATTAGCAATAACCTATGATATTTTTAGAAAATAGTTTCATCATTTTTGGAAATCAGAAACTATTTTAAAATCCTTTAAAATCAAACAAAAAGATCTGAAATTCTGGATGTCAGGTCTCGGATGTCCTAAGAGATGTGGAGACACCAAGTCCAACTTCAACATGCAACAACAGGATATATAAACAAACAAACAATGCTGAAGATAAATAACACACATATATGTTTACCCAGTTCGGTGACAACAACGTCCACTCTGAAGGCTACCAAGCCATGAATGAAATTAACTAGATAGTATCAATTTGTAAACCACACAGAAAACACACCAGTTTACAATCTACGCACTTAATCACTACCCTTTGCTTAACTTCTACCTAAGACACTCCTAGGTATGAGGCCCTCCTCAAATCTCTCTTCAATCACACTCAGCAATTGGAGCAACTCTAAACAAAGTAGAGAACAAAAACAGGAAGCCACTCTTCCAAGACACACAATCCTCAATGCTTAAAAGCTTATGAGAACTGACACACAAATACCCAATGCTTAGTAGCTTATGAGCATCTGACACAAAAATGTTCAATGCTTAAAATCTTATGCACATCTGACAGAACTTACAACCCAACAATAAGGATTCTAAAAACCCTAACAAAACACACACGTAAGTTCCACCTAAAACTAGGTACACCAATCTATTTATAACATTATTCTGGACCGGGTTGGGCTTAAAAAATGCAGCAGTGAGGCTACACAAAGTCTACAAAAATATTTTCCAAGAAAATAGGTCTTCAATCATTAGTCTCCTAAAACATGTTACTTCCAAGTTGGTTTTACCAAAATATATGTCAATCATAATTTTAGAGAAATAACAATCTCCCCCTTTGGCACATTTTGGCTAAAACAACCAAATAACCCTTGCACACAAAAACAACATAAAATATGTTTGAAAATAAATCAAACACACGCATCAGAGGTACAATAGCGAAAAACATATTAGCATGTTAGGATAAGAGAAGCAAAAAAAATCAGAGACACAATTAGTAGTTAGTTGATCTACTAACACAACTGCAACCAATAGAGAACATAAGTTCTCAACACCATGATGTCAATACATCATGCCTGACATGTCTTTAGAGCCTCCAGTATAGAGTAGGGACTCCCCCTTGATGACTCCACCTCAACATTAGTACCAGTACCAGCACCCTCAGTATCATACTACTCCCTCTTTTTTAACAATAATATGGCAAAGGAAAGTTAACAATATTAGCAAATTTAAGCCCCTGAAGTTTTAAGAGATATGGTGCAAAAAAAAACTAAAAATATCCCAACCCTTACAAAATCATAAACTAAGATAAACAGGATCATAAGGAGGACCCAAAAAAAATCCCATGACCAAATGTCATACATCTGCATCTTCTTCTTCTTTAATAGTACCGGCATAATGTTCATCAAGTGCAGCATCATCCTCAACATCTTCATCAACAAGTGCAACACCAACAATAATTGATATAATTCTTCATAGATACAAATCCCAAGTCTCCTCCTTAGATTCTCAAATTGAATTGCATTAAGAGATTTTGTAAAGATATCAGCAAGTTAATTCTCAGTGCTAAACATGCTTAAGAGTTATGACTTTGTCCTCCACAAGTACTCGAATGAAGTAGTGTCTGATGTCAATGTGCTTGGTCCTACTATGCTGAATAGGATTTTTGGAAATATTAATAGCACTCATATTTTCACTAAATAATTTCATGACATCTTGTGCGACATTATACTCAGACAACATTTACTTCATCCACATCATTTGAGAGCAGTTGGTTCCTGCTACAATGTACTCATCTTCAGCATTAGATAGAGAAACACAATTATATTTCTTGATGAACCATGAAATCAAATTGTTTCCCATAAAGAAACATCCTCCAGGGGTACTCTTCCTATCATCAGCACTCCCAACCCAATCAGCATCATAAAACCCCACCAACAAGGAATTTGTATTATGGGAATACATCATACAATAGTCACATGTACCATTCCCAAACTTTAGAATCCTTTTCACTGGGTTGATGTGACTTACCTTAGGTTCTGCTTGATAGAAGTTGTGGACGGTAAATCATTTTCTTGTTTCATTTGATTTTATATAAAATGATGTATGTTAAAGTTATGTTTTGGAATTCCTTTCGATATATTATTCCTACTGTTTTTTAATTAATTTTTACAAAAATTAGAAACACCAAAAAAAGGAACTCAACAAGAAAGAGTTAAAAAGGTTGATCACAATTTGGACAAAGAGACTATTGCAAAGAAATTGGAGATAGACAAACTCTCGCAACAAAAAGTAATGAAAGATCATGCACATGGTGACAAAGAAGTTGTACAAGGTAAGTGATTTTTAAATTTTTCTATTATGCATATATTACATGAAATTATTCCTAATATCTTTTTGTGAATTTTTACTAAAATTAGAAACACCAAAGAAAAGAACTCAAGTGAAAGCTATAGTGAATAGAGAAAGAATTCAAAAGGTTGATGGAAAATTGGATAACCACATTGCTATGAAGAAAGCAGGGAGACCTAAGCTTTTGCAACCACAAGATAAGGAAGTTTTTGCATATGGAAACAAAGAAGTTTCACAAGGTACTTAATATCCCTGCATATACTTTAAATTTATATATTTCTTTTCATGACATTATTATGACGAGAAAATTACATTGAAACCAGGAATGCTGAAAAAAAGAATTCATGAGAATCTACTAGAGAACAATAGAGATAAAATTCAAAAGGTGGAAAAACCAGTTGCAAGGAGAATACTTATTTCTTTCAAAAATAAGAAACCAGAGAAATATACTCTATCTTTGGACACAATGATGTCAAAAGCTGAATGCTCTAAAAAGCTAAACAGGGTGCCAAAATGCCCATCAATGTTGATTGATGATTATGTAGATCTTCACAAGTCAAAGGAAATGGATGCAACCAAGTCAAACAATGGAGAAAAACCGGGCAGCAACATTAACCGTAGCTCTAATCAAAATCAGCCAAAAAAAGGAACTCGACAAGAAAGTGTTCAAAATCGTGCAAAAGTCAACGAAGAAGATGCAATCACAAATAGAGAAGAAGAAAAAGGTAATTAGTTTCATATTTCATAATAATGATTTCATGTATTATTTACATATTGGTAGCAAACATGTGATATCATGTAGTTGTGTTGATTACTTTATAGAAACATCCCAAAGAAAAACTCGTGGGAAAACTTTGTGCAAAAAGATTCACGCAAGAACTTTGGAAGAGCGAGTAAGAGTGACCTTTAATGAGGATTTTCAGCCAATTGGTCCTAGTGAAAAAGTAGTATCTGACTTGAGCCTCTTCTTGGGAACATTAGCTAGGAACTCAACATTTTGTCCTCTACGTTACACCAATTAGTCAGGAATTCCAGATGATAATAAAAACCATTTCTGGAGATATACTAATGTATGTTTTTATCTATGAATTTGAAAGTATAATTATTAAAAAAAAGTGTTTTATTTCTTGATCTTGTCTTATCTTATGATTTATGTAGCGGAAGTTTATCTTGCCGGTTGAAGCACGAGATTGGATTGAGACCACTGTTAGAGAGGCATGGATAAGATATAAGCACAAAATTAAGAAGAAGAATTTTTTGAAGTATTCCAACATGACCGAGAGACTCAAAAATCGTCCGCCAAACGTGCCAGTAGCCTAATTTAAGAGTCTTTGTGCTTATTGGAGTAAGGAAACTATACAAGTAAGATTAATAATTTTTTTATGTATGTGTGTGAATTTACACCTTTCTATGTATGCCATAATTAAGTAATATTTATTATAATAATTCCGTCAAATTTAAATGTAGGCAATCAGTGAAAATAATACTAGAAATAGAGCTCAACTAAAGTGGATGCATCGAATGAGTCCCAAAAACTTTGATTTGACTCGTGAAAAAGTGGTAACTTTCTTTTGTTCTCAATAAAGTATTCCTTGTATGAATGTTTCTTTGTTCAATTAAAGTATTCGTGAAAAACTTTTCTTTGACTCGTGAATAGGAATTTTAATTCACATGATTTGTTATGGAATTATTTTGATTTGTGCAGCGTGAAAAGGAAAAAAGAGAGCCCACTCAATCAGAAATGTTTGTTGAAACTCGAAAAGGAAATAAAGGAAAGGAACTGGATGTAGAAACTGGAAAAGTAATTGTATGTAACATTGTTTATATAATACGCTTGCTTAATATAATCGGCCAACATTGTCTATAATAGTAGTTAATATTTTTTTTTTTTGTAATTTATGCTAGTCCCAACTTCAAGAAATGGTTTAAAAAGGAGGAAAGTGATACAAAAGCTTTTAAAGTTGTTTTTGGAAAGGAGTGTCCAGGCAGGGTACGCTGTTATGGGAGAAACATAACTAAAACTTCCTTAAAGAGAAAGGCAGAGATTAATGCTTTGAAACAAGCCCACAGTGAAGAGGTCTATACATTAAGGGACGAGTTTCAAGATAAGATTGATAGATTGCAAAATGCTTTTAAGACCGTAATACAACAATGCAATCCTCAAATTAATATAGAGTCAATTGAAGATTTGTTAGGATGATCTCATGGAGATGCTAATAGTTCCCCAAAGGATATAAGACCGCAAATGCATTCATCTACATCAACGCATGCTCCATGTCATGGAAAGGTAACCTTATATACCAATATTATTGATTTATATTTTTCTAATTATGTTATAGTATCAAAATGGTTGTTAATGTATGCAAAAATTTGCAAGTAGTGACAACACCTAGAATAAAGTAAGTGGTTGAAATTGTTTAAGTAGTGACAACACCTAGAAGTGGTTGAAACTGTTTAAGATTTGTTATATGCAAAAGAGAAAAATCTAAATTTTCAACTTTAGACATATAGACTTAAAGTAAAACATTGAGTATTTTTTTATGAATACTCTTGGTGATAAGTAAAGTAATATAAAGCCCACCCATGACATGAGATGTGAAGAATATAAACAATGTGTTTTGCTCATTGGTTTAGTTTTTATTTGTGCGAGGTTTAATTCTTGTTGATGTCTTAATTGTCCTTTGGACCAAAAATATTTATGGTTGATGTGTTTTATTTTATTTTCTTATGCAGCAATGTATCAATGAAGATGTTGAAAAGGACGATATAAATGATGAAATTCAAGAGGACGACATAAATGATAAAATTCAAGTGGACGACCTAAATGATAAAATTCAAGAGGACGACGTAGATGACGAATTTCAAGAGGACGACATAGATCTAGATGATGAATTTCAAGAGGACGATATAGATGGTGAATTTCAAGAGGACGACGTAGATGAAGAATTTATGGAGGATGACATATCTAACGAATTTCAAGAGGACGATCTGGATGATTTACTCCTAGTAGACAAACTTGAGTGAGTTGGATGATGTCTTTTTTTTGGCTTGTAGTTGAAAGCATTAAACTTGAAATATGATTTTTGTTCTTTTGTTGAACTATGTTTTTAGTTATTTTACTAAGGTCATACTTCAAAGTATTAAAAGTAATGTTACGTTAGGCATTTTGTGTACTCTATATACTATATCTTGAATTAAAGTTTAAACTCGATTTTATTATATTACAACTTTTATGGATGTATGGTTTAAGTTATATAATCAATATTATTTTTGAAGCCAATTATTATTGACTATATTATTTTGATAATAATTGCAAAATTGTATATTTTATGTGGACACTATAAAACAACAACCTATAAGCTATGGCTACACTTCAAAAACGATCTTTCTGATTCAGGTTTAAGGCAACGATTGTTAATTGTAGCCGAATTTGGCAACGCTTAAAAAACGTCATCTTAGAGGCCGCAAATAATCGTCCCCTATTCCTTTTCTATAGGCGATGTTTTTCAAAAGCGTGCCCAAAAAACATAAAAAAACGTTGCCTCAAACAATAGGCAACGCTCGCACAGGAGACGCCTAGAAAACGTCCCCTATTTGTTTAGGCAACGATTTTCAGAGTTCTGGCAACGCTTTTCAATTGTTGTTGGAGAGGCTAAATGTTGTAGTGATATCTTGTGCATACTCCAACAATAAAAGTGATGTGTGGTCTGCTAGCAGTAAGATATAAAATTCTACCAATCATGCTTCTATACAAACTCCGATCAACCCTAACTCCTTTTTCATCTTTAGATAACTTCAAGTGTGTAGGAGAAGGAGTTATCTTATGGATGACATTTTCCAATCCAAATTTCTTCACAATATTCCTTGCATATTTTCTTTGACAAATAAAAATGGAGTCTTCCATCTGCTTGACTTGAAATCCCAGAAAGTAAGTCAATTCACCTACCAAACTCATCTCATACTCAGATTGCATTTGTTAACAAAATGTTGGACAATTTTATCCGACATTCCTCCAAAAACAATGTCATCCACATATATCTGAGCTATCAATAGTTTTCCAGCTTCATCTATGACAATAAGTGTTTTGTCAATTCCACCCTTTCTATATCCATGACTGACCAAAAATTCAGTCAGCCTATCATACCAAGCTCTTAGAGCTTGTTTCAAGCCATACATGGCCTTCTTTAGTCTCAACACATGATCTGAAAAAGAAAGATCAACAAACCATTTTGGTTGTTCAACATAAACTTCTTCATTCAGGTACCCATTTAGAAAGGATCTCTTGACATCCATTTGATACAACTTGAACCTTAAATGATAAGCTACTCCAAGCAACAATCTGATAGACTCCAAGCAAGCCACAAGTGAAAATGTTTCATCAAAGTTTAATCTTTCAATTTTAGTGTATCCTTGTGCAACAAGTTTGACTTTATTTCTTGTAACACCACCTTGTTCATTCGTCTTGTTCTTGTACACCCATTTTGTACCAATAACATTTATCCCATCAGGTCTTGGCACCAAGTCCCATACTTTTTTCCTCTTGAATTGACCAAGTTCATCTTGCATAGAATTTATCCAAAACTCATTAGTCAGGGCTTCCTTCATATTCTTGGGTTCAAAATTGGATACAAAGCAAGCATTTGACACATTTTCTCTTGATATGGTGACTACTTCTTGTCTAGGATTTCCTATTATAAGTTCCTTAGTATGATCCTTTTGAATTTTGAGTGATGGCCCTTTGTCAGCTACCCGGGGTTCATGAACATCAGAATTTGCACTTAAGCCTGCAACATCAGTGTTGGATGTTGAGACATTTTCCTCAACATCTTCTAGAACCACATCATTTGTAGAAATAATTGTCTCAACCTCTTCTGGGACATCATCTTATCTAGTTGAGTCATAAATAATCACATTTGAAGACTCCATCATCACCTTGATTTTGTCGTTGAAAACTCTATATGCTTTACTATTTGTAGAGTATCCCAGAAAATTTTCTTCATCACTTTTAGCATCCAACTTTCTTCTAGGCTCACGACCTGCCAAAATATAACACTTACTTCTAAAGACATAGAAGTATTTGATAGTTGGCTTTCTTCCTCTCCATAATTCATACAGAGTAACTAACATACCAATTCTGATAGTCACTCTATTGTGAATATAGAAAGTGGTGTTCATGGCTTCATCCTAAAAATGAAGGGGTAATTTCTTGGCATGAAGCATAACTCTGGCACATTCTTGAATAGTCATGTTCTTGCGCTCAACTACACCATTTTGTTAAGGATTGATGGGTGAGGAAAACTCATGATTCATTCCTTAAAATGCACAGAATTTTTCAAACTTTATGTTCTCAAATTCCTTCCCATGGTCACTTCTGATTCTGACCACACCATAATCATTTTCTCTTTGAATCTTGTGACGTAATTCTTTAAAGACTTCAAACACTTTTGATTTCTCTTTGATGAACTTCACCCATGTGAATCTTGAGTAGTCATGAACAATAACATAGGCATACCAATTTCCTCCAAGATTTTTAACCTGCATAGGTCCCATTAAGTCCATGTGAAGTAGATCTATAACTCTTAAGGTGGTAAGATGTTGGATCTTCTTATGGGACATCCTTGTTTGCTTCCCAATTCGACATTCACCATAAATTATCCCTTCATTAATCTTTAGCTTGGGAATATCTCTAATAGCTTCCTTTGACAGGATCTTCTTCATACCTTTCAGATGTAGATGACCAAGCTTTTGATGCCATAAGTTGACTTTATCATGTTTTGACATTAAGCAAGTTGAGGGATATTCTATTTCTGGAGAGCTCCATAGGTAGAAATTATCTTTTGATTTGGTTCCCTTCATAACCACTTCATTCTTATCATTTCTAATCAAACACTCAGATTAAGTAAAGTTATCCTTGAGACCTTGATCACAAAGTTGACTGATACTTATCAGATTTGCAGTTATCCCTTTTAGAAATAACACATTAACAAGACTAGGTTTTCCTACATAGTCCACCTTTCCAACAAATTTGATTTCACTTTTTAACCCATCTCAAAAGTGACATAGCTAGTGGCACATGGTTTAATGTCCACAAGGAATTTCTTAACACCAGGCATGTTTCTAGAACAACCACTATCAAAATGACAATCCTCTCTAGTTAAGGCTTTGAGAGATGTGTAAGATATGAGTCCATACGAATCTCGGTGATGAGCTCCTCTTGACTTTACCTCAGTATTACCATATTTTCTTCTGTAAGGAGTTATATGGTTTGGATAGCCATACAATTTGTAACAAGAGGACTTTAAATGACCAAACAACCCATAATAATGACATCTACATGGCTGGTACATGGGATTATAATACCTTCTTTGATGTCTCGGCTGGTGTTGGGACATGTGACTTAACATCTTCTGCTCTTGCTTCATCTTTTGAGGAACAAACACCACTACTTGCTTGTTGTTCTTCACAACTTGGTTATTATAACCAATACCCTTCATATTCCCAGCATTATTCCCAATTTAAAGAATCTTATCCAGCACAGTAGAGCCATTGTTTAGCATTCTTACAGATTTGGTCATATTGTCAAGTTTGGATTTTTGCAATATTACCTCCTCTTAAAGATTAGCAATGATAGATAGATGCTCTTCTTTCTCAGCCTCCAGTTGAGCAATCAAAACCTTTTTCTCTAATACTCTCTGACACATTTTTTCATTCTTGAGGCACGTCTTTGTGAATCCAGCATCCAGTTCACTAACATTGAGTTCTCCAACATATTATTCTTTATCGGATTCACAGATTCCAGTCAAGGCAGCCACTTGCTTGGCTGATTCTTCTTCATGATTATTTTCAGATTCTCCCTCTAACCATGATACAAATAAGCTCTTCCATTGCTTTTTTATATATGTGGCACATTCAGTTCTTATGTGCCCATACCCCTCACATTCATGTCACTAGACACCTTTCCCTTGTCTTGGCTTCTCTTAAAATCTTGACTTCCTTCCCAGGTCCTGGTTTTTGTTGATGTCGAATGACATGTTCTTAGCATTTAACCCGGACTTCCTCCACACCCTTTTAAACTGTCTTCCTAGTAACACAAGGTCTTCAGATACTTTTTATGAGTCAACATTTCCTCTATCCTATGAGTCTTCAATATTAGAGGAAAAAGATATACCCTTCTTCTTTTCAGACCTTTCATTGATAGAA